CCCCGCCTCCTCTAATCGCGACTACTCGACTTCTGTTCATCAAGATTGGTGTGAATTTTCCCCTGAAATGAACAAGCTTTAAGATGATACCTATTACCCTATAGGCACAAAAATTGACAAATGCCTGATTCCATTGTGTCGTGACATATTGTTTCCAGAAGGCGAATACACTTTACCGGCGATCTAATTATATCTGTTGACTTTCGGCATAGCCAACAGCCTTGGTCGACCCCTTCATAGGCTGGGCGGAGGGGCTGCCTTCTAAATCGTTCTGTTGTATTGATGGAAGAGAAAAGGAGTTACAATTGTTTTGTAATCACACGTTGCTGCTGATGAATTATGCAAAAGCATTTGAAGGGGGTAGGAGGAGGAGGGGGGTAGGAGGAGGAGGGGGGTAGGAGGAGGAGGGGGAAGGGGACGTGTGCAAGGAGTAAATATAAGCACGGAGTAGGGGAGACCGAAGGAGCTAGTGTGAAATGATGAATGGTGGGAGAAAGAAACATAGGAGAAGAAATAGGAAAGTTGGGACAGGCGTGGAAGAGTGAAAGAGAGAAAGGGGGAAGAAATAGAGAGAGAGAGAGGGGGGGGAGAGAGAAGCGGTTATACAGAAGGGTAGCAGGGATGTATGCAGTGGCGGTGGGTGGACCAAGATTTGGGTCGGGCTTAGGTTTCTTCCACTTCTTTACCAACAAAAAGCAAGCAATAAGAACAAAACAGTGATGATTTTTCTATACTCACGGCGAGCCACGGCATTTTGAGAACCATTCAAATGAGAAGAGTCACCTTTGTCTTCCAACTCTTTGTTTTTAGTTAAATTTAAGCTCTTCTGGATGGTGGGGACGAAGACGTTTCATCTCCAAATTTCTCTAATAAGTTTTTATCTGAAGAAAAAGTTGCCTCAAAAGTGCTTTGGTGTAATTAATAGCTGTTAAATCTCAGCGGCACAAACACACAGCACTCCAAACACATACCGTCTATGAGGTGGATTGGGTCGTGTTGTTGCGGAAAATAGAACGCGCCTAACAAAGGCCCAATGGGCGTTTAGGTATCTATGTCACTGGGGGAAAGTGTGTCGTAAACTTTCCCCCCATTGTCAGGGTTGGTGGGAGAGCGTGAGTCCGCTGTGCAGTGTTATTTTTTAAAAGTCTTCTACCTTTTTACAAGAAGAGTTTCATTAAAGACGGGCGTGGCAACCGGCTTATTCTTTCTGAGCCCTAGCGACATTTGATTGGCTGTTAGGTTACTATAGTTGTAAGAGGTGACAACAACGATTGGATAAACGGGCAAGCCGCAAGCTGATAACTGTGTGTTCACTGTGTGCGATCCTTGTGCGATCACAACGGTTTCAACTGTTTATTTCGTTATTTAAGAAACTTTCATGAACTAAGGTATAGAGTTGGGGTGGGGACGGGGTGGGGTGAGGGGCTCAAGTCCGTAAGCCCTTCACTACCCACCGCCACTGGATGTATGTAGATTTTGTGGCATCAAAAGATACATGGAGAAAAGAGAGAGAAGGTGAGCGAAAGAGAAGGAGGCCGGGGGGGGGGAGGCAGAAGGAAAGAGTGAGACACACCTTTACATAGAGAGGGACACACTCACACACACACACACACACACACAAAAACACACACAAAAACACACACACACAAACACAAACACAAACACAAACACAAACTGAAACTCGAACCAACGTTCAGATTCGAGCAAATTGTGTGAGTTCCTTAACAGTTGCGACAATCCGAGAGAAACGTTTACGCAGTAGA